TACTTTTTTTAAAAAAAATGCTACTTAGAGAAGATTTTCCCAACCTGGGCAAACTTTGGCTGAGCAGGCAGATGGATTGTGGCAGAGTCCTTTGTAGACAAAGAGATGTGGAGCTGGCTAGCAAGAAACAGAAAGCAAACCCTGGACTCTCCAAGATGTTGAGAACCTGCTGAAGTGTCTTCTCCCCAGTCCCTTGAGCATTCAGGGACAGGGTTGAAAACAAAAACAGACTCTTGGAGCCTCAGCAGTCCAAGCCAGGAACTCAAAGTAACATTCCAAGTAAAAGGTCTAACCAAGGTAGTTAGAGATCTGGCAGCAACAGTTTGAGCCTTGTTCTCCTGCTGTTGCACCAACAGATTCAATAAGCTTTCCAGACTCAGCTGTAGGCATATAAGCAACTCCTTCCTTTCCTGTGAGAAAGGCTTTCCAGCTCTCTTCTCTGCCTGGTCAATGAGCTGAGTTCTGGCCAGGCACCACAGAAGAGCTGTGTGTGTTTTATATAGGCCTGGGTAATGCAACAGGTGCTATCTCTGCAGTCTTCTCTTTGTCACCCTCTGGCATCTACCATGTCCCTCAACTTTCTTCTCCAACTCCCCACCACCTGTTCCTTCATCAGAGTAGGGCTGAACAGGCACTAAGTCTGCAGATACTCATATTCTGCTGCTGGGGTTACTGAAAATGGATTTTTCCTTTGCTCTGAGGAAGGCTTTCCAGCTTGAGGAACCAGGTCTCTTCTCTGCCTGGTCAATGAGCTAAATCCCTGCCAGGCAGCATAGAAGGGTGGAGGAGCTTATATGGAGTCCACACATCTGGGGATGCCCAGGTGGGAAAGGTTAATTTTGAGTCAATCACTCACATATTCATCTCCCAGAAATGAATTTCATGCTGCATGAAGACAATGTATATGACTTACCAATGAACTCAGAGACACGACCCGAAATTCTAATCTCCAATTCCTTTCCTGCTCTGATTTTTAATTATTGTTAAAATGATTTTGAGGAATGCTGTTCTGACCAAAATATGCAACCTGGTTTTTTTAACAAATTGCCACATGCTGATTTCAAAAAAATCATGGAAGTCCTGTCTTAATATGAACAATGATTACTCTTCTCCCCCTTTCTACAGTGTTCAACAGTTTTGCCTCTCCTTTGAAGACCAAACAATTGTGATCGATCTGTTCTTTAATTTATTTTTCCTCTTTTACTTTGGATTGCGGGTAAGAAATATTTGTAATTAAAACATTTTAAAAGTGTCTATTGGGAGAAAGAGAATATGGGCGAGATCTAGGAATGGTTCAGAAATTTGTTTAAATTTGCATTGTAATGTAGACTGTAATACAAACATGCCTACTTCTCATTTCCCTAAACCAACTGAATATCAATGCAATTATTCTGTAATATTCACCCTCTTCCAAATTTTGCCAATTTTCTGAGTATCTTTTAAAATCCATTTGCACAAAAGTGCATACCATGATGTATGTATGTATGTGTATGTAT